CCTAACAAAATTGAAGCAATGTTCATTACACTCAGAGGTTTCTTGAGGGTGTCCCAGTCAGACCTGGTAGTGGCTTATCTATCAATCTACAAGATGGAGTGCACAGTTTTTCTTTTTGTTTTGATCTTGGTGAACAATGTATAATAATTCACCATTACAGAACAAAAGGAACAGTGAGTTATGATTTACAATTCACATAACTGTTACGTTCGAGTATAAAACTTCACATTCTTTTATATTTTAGGAAGTTTTTTCTTTTTTTTAAATTCTGGTTTGGAACAAAAAAGACATTATTGGCAGATCCTAATGGAACATGTGGCAGGTCATCCTCTGCCAGGGAGGAAGTGGCAGGACATGAATGACGCCTCCCACTTCCTTTATTCCTCCATGACACACTGACTATATTCGAGGGATTGAAGGAAGAGTTTCAAGTCATGGCAGATAACTGCAAGGTATAATTTCAAAACAGCTTCAGCCCCATTTGGGAGAGAGAGACAGAGCACGCACACGTTCTTTTTGACCAAAGACTTTTAACTAAGGGGAATCTAGCTGGGACTGTTGTAAAATTTCAACATGTTTTTAGGATGCCAATACGAATGTTAATACAAATGTTAAACAAGAAACCAACTTCAATCGTGTTCACGGGGCAAGGTCTACAATTTTCTCCCCAACTTAAAAACATATTTTCTACTGCACTTTTCCTAGAACATGGATATAATTAGGACATGACTCCTTGATCCCTTACCATTTTCAATATTTCTGAAATCCTTGTCAGTGACATTGAAGACTTTGTTTCAGTCTTCTAGAGAAAATTTCCAAGTTAAAATAGGACGTTATATGGGAAAAAACTTACATAAGCTCTAAATATCCTAATCATATGTAATTTTTATTAAAATAAATTATAAAGTCTCCATATTGACATTTAATGATTCATTTCAGTACATTCTATTACTTTTAGTCATCAATCATATATTTCCAATACCAGCAAAAAGAAAAGTGTAATTTTTTACTCACCAGAAAATATTTTGAAGGAAACATTATACTAACTATAAAGTATTGAAATGCTCTGATCTATTTTTAATAATCCATTCCTAGTAACATGATAGAGACATTACCAATACTGCTAGCAGATTTCTTTTAAAGCTAATTAAATGCTTTAGAAGCAGTAAAAAATCAGCCACTTATTCATTACCACAAAAAGAAAGATAAAATTAATTAGGCTTTATGTAACTAAAAGCATGTTTTCTTTTGGAAAATATTTATATATGAAGTTTTAATCAATTTATGGAGCTAATAGGTTCCATTTGCTCTAGAAAAACAAATGAAAATAGGAACTAAGGATGGCATCACAAATGTCAACTACAATCAAATGAAAGATGTACTTTATCAAAATAAACAATTCACAGCCAAGTGTTCTTATAAGGGAACATTTGGGAAAACAATAATCTGGCTAAAGTAAGAATTCAGAATTACACCTGTAATGATTTCAGCATGCTGCCCAGTCTGTCCCACTCCTATTTCCACTCTCCTTGTAATGGTACAAAGACGAGCAGGAAAGTACACACACAATTACTTATTGAAGTCAAATAACTTATTCAGGAGATGCAGAGATGACCTGTATTAACAGGTATCATCATAATGGAAAGGAGTGGTGCGAAAATGCTAATATTCAATACCCACTCAAGCTTTATTTTAGATTGATGTTTATTAGTCTTATTTCTCATGTGAACACACACTTCTCCTTATGAGAATTAAGGTTTCGTGTGTTTTAATCCACACGTCTTTCCTATGAAATCTGTCAGGTTGGTATCATTCCATTTCACACATGTGGGCCCAAGCTAGCACCCTCACATGCTGCCATCCCCTCATGTGGCAGTTCTTGAGGCAACGACCATTGTCTACCTTCAAACACCCTTACTTTGATGAATTAGAATCAAGGGTACAGCTTTTTCCACTATCACATTCCCTGTCCCTAAAATCTCCTTCATTTGGTAAAACCTTACTCATCTTCTAGGTTTAATTCAGAAATCACCTCTGAAATAGATTCCATCGAAAGAGACTTAATTATTCCTGCCTCCGTTCCTCATAGTGCTTTCTTCATAACTGCTATAATAACATTTATCATACAACATCATAGTTGATGACACACACATCCGTTTCCTCCTGCAGGACTTAATTATCTTAAATCCCTCTCCCAGAGCCTGTTACAGGGTCGATATGAAGTAGCCATTCAATAATTTAAAAACTGAATAAATAAATTGAATGAGTGAGCCCATAGACAACAGGTAAGAAAAACTGGGTATTGTAACCATTCACATCCTTGAAGTAGATCCTGTCAGTGGGAGAGGAAAAGGCTTAAGAGTGAGGCAGAAAGTTAATACAAAGAGCAATTTTAAAATATAGGTAGAGGAGGAAAAGAATTGGCCCAAAGTCTAACCAACACAAGTCATCACATCTAATGACACAGTGAAAGTAATCAGAAACAGGCACGTTACCATACAAAAAGAAAGATTTCATTCCTGTAACCAAGAACATAATTTTTTTTAAGTACATAATTTTTTTACATGTACTCTTTAAGACAGGATGAGAAGGCTATCATGGATAATTGGCCTACCAGACAAAGAATCCCCATGATTCCTGGAGATTCTGCTGTCTTCTCTAGCAAGGGTTTCCAAGACAGCATGCCTTTTATTATAAGTCTGGTGAAGGTAAAAATGTTGTTATAAATATCAACAAGGAAATCTTCCTTGAGTCCCTGCCTCCTGCAAATACTTGGCTAACAGTTTTCATAGGTAATCATATTTTCCTAATATGAGTTAGGCATCCCGTTCCCCATTTTACAGGAAAGGAAACTGAAGATCAGAACGATGGAATGAGTCGCCAAGGTTGCATACTTAATGGGGAGTTTGATCAAAGCAAGTTTTGTGGCTTCTCCTGTTATCCCCTACAGTGGCCTCTCTTTGTATTCAGAAAACATTGTTACTCATCGACAGCATTACATTAAAACTATTCCCATCTTAAGACACTTTGCTTAGGCCATTTCACATTTGCTAAATTGTAATTTGAGGATTCCTTTCACATGAAGCTGGAGAATTTGGCTATATTCTTGGGGCATCTCATGGAAACCGCGTTTAGGTAAATTGTTGTCATAGTAGTGATGGCTGACAGGCGTGTCCTGTACAGTTTTAGAGAAGGGCCAAAATCCATACAGTTTCACGTGCTCACACAGTTCAACTGCCATGCTTGTGATCATCAAGCCGGAAGACAGGCGATACTCTGTCACGCCTTTAGTTCTCCAGAAAAGGGCAAGATTTCTCAGGTACTTGGGATGGAAATATATAACCTTTTGTCTTGCGTTAGACTCTTTCAGTGTGTTGTACACTTTAAAAGAGGCACCGGTGTTGGCCCTGAAGGAAAATGCTGGCAGAAGAAGGAATGTGTCTCCATAGGTTGCAACGTCCTCCAGAAATATTGCTTTCTTTTCCTTTAAGTTCCCATATCTGTCAAATTGTGAAAAACCATAATAATAACAATAATAATAATCAAGGTAGCATGTTTGGTAACACGAGGCTAAATGTACCACTGGCCAAAAAAACCAAAAAAAACCCCAAAACTGAACCATGCATATCACTGTATACAAAAGAGACAAAACATAGACTCAGAGAAAACGCATGCATATGAGCACCTTGTAAATATGAAGGGCTAGGCTTTGCTCTCTCTTTCTTAGTTTTCCTAGGATTTCATTTCTACTCTCTTACTGGGCTATCTACCCTTACTGGACATACATTTCTTACATTCCTTTATCTTCCAACTCAGTAATATTTTTCTAAGGTTGCTTTTTGATGCTGAAATACCTTCCAAATGTATAACGATGAAATGTTTTCTCTCAGCATAGCACTGTTAAAATATCTATATATTTAAAAATATTCATTGAGCTGTACACTGGTGGTTTGTGCACCTTTTGTACATATGTGATTATAAAATAACATTTTCTTCAGAAAAACCTAAAATATCTATATGCTTATAATTTATGCATACACATATACACACATATTTTAAATGTCCTCCATATGTTGTGATAGCTCTATACATTTGATATAAACAAAACCTTAGTAAATATACTTGTAAGCGCAATTTTGTGTGTTTCGAAAGTCAGCTTTTGGGAGACAGATACAATAGTTTATATTCTCTTAAGAGATACTAGAACTATTTGAGGGGTGGATTCTATTAATAACAATTATTAGTCACTTTTGCTGAAAACAATGGAGTTAAACTATGTACAGGATTTTTATTAGCCAACTAACACTGCATAGTAATTACATTACAGAAAAAGAGACATGGGAATTATTCTGTAGTAATATACTATTCAAAGTGAAAACCAGATTTTGCCAGGCTCTCCTAAGATTTGTTTTCTGAAGCTTCCAAACAGGCTAAGTTTTACCAAGAAAGTGCTACCAAGATGAAAGACTAACACTAAAATTCTGAAAGAAAATTGAAAAAAGGTAGCTTTACTATTATTAAAAAAGATGAAGAGAGGGCCGGCCGAGTGGCTCAGTTGGTTAAGAGCTCGCTCAAGAGTTTGAGCTCTGAGCAATAGCGGTTCGAGTCCAGCCTGAGCTGAGCAGCCGCTGAGCTGCCAACAGGTAGCAGGATGGCTCAGC